TAAACATAAATGAACGCGTAGAAATGCACGTTGTCATGGTTAGTTTTGGTAAAATGTTAAAAACCAGATAATTTAGTTTATAGATATTGTTTTTATTTATTGAAAAAAATTTGCATATTTGTAAATGTAAATTAGTTACACATGTAAAAAAAATTATTTCATCAAGTTTGATTTGAATGAAAATCTCTTTGAAAACTACTTAATGAATTTATAATTTATGTAACTTGAGTTTATTCACCCGAAACCATAATTAATAATTTTAGTTCAAAATATCCAAACGCAATTTGTCTATGTCTGTTCCTCGTGGGGGGAATTACAAAATTACTGTCAAATCAAAACAAAACATAATTATAATCAGCTGACATTTTACAGTAATATCGCGGTGATGTAAATTGTTGTAAGTATTTAGAAAACAGTAAACAATAATAATAAAAATATGCGCATATAAACAAGATTTTTTTTGATGACGCATGAGTATTTTTAACACACGAGATACTAAAGAAGAGAGCTCATACATACTCTAACTTTTGTGATATACTTTATATAATATGCTCGGCTCTTAAGGATTGTCATAAGATTTATTTGAAAGAGTTCTTGACCTGAAGTTAGATGTTACTCTCCCTTTTCCATGAAGTGTCTTGTAAGATATGGATAATATACACGGTGTTTATTGGTCAGGGTTATTCATTTTATGGATCCAAAAGTAAATATAAAAAAAAAACTTATTTGTGCATAAGATTTTGACCACAATTGTATTCCATATTGGAATCCAAAATATCGGAACATAAGTTGTGAAATACAACATCGTTCAAATATTCTCAATGAAACATCTTATAGTATTGCATTCTATTAAGGTAATTTTCAATGATTTCTCGGCATATAGTTGACAACAGTTAAGTTTTAATTTGGATGTTTTTTTCACAGCCCCCGAAAAAAAATTGAGAGGGAGAAAAAAATATGGGACATCTTACAATACTGGATCGCTTTTTTTTTGTCTTGTCTGCACATAGTTGACAAGAGTTCGGTTATCATTTAACGAATTTGCATAAATATGATCCTTTTTGTAGTCCCGTCAAAAAAAAATGAGAGGGAAAAAAATGGGACATCTTACAGTACTGGATGTCTTTTTTCTTTGTCTTGTCTGCACATAGTTGACAATAGTTCGGTTATAATTTGGCGGATGTTTGTTTTCAAACCGTCGAAAGTATGAAAATTGTTTGCATAAACACAATTTTCTGCTAAACCCCACAACAAAACGGTGAGAAAAGGTTTTTGGGGCTCAGTTCACCACATTAAAGTGTCAAATTACAAATCTGGGAACTTTCTCGCATAGCAAAGTTACAAGGACATATACTGTAGCTTTTGGCACTGCTCTGCTCATAATGATCAGAATTGACGATGTCTGTCACACATTCGATATTTTCAGATGTGGTGCTGTCCTTTTATGACTGCAAACCAAATTATATGTTACACAATGCATTTTTGTGGCTGCAATGGTTTTTCGATAGTTAAATATGGATTATCACTGCCCCAGATACGAAAATTTGTGTCAATTAGCGAAAAATGAGCGTTTTCAGTATATGTAATCTATTCGAAAAATTGTTACTATCTTTAAAACTAAGATATT